GGAATATTTTTCAATTCTCAATTACATAATATGTCTATAAATTCTCTAAATTTATGAATTTTAAATACTGAATAATAAATATATAAAAAGTTCTTTTAAAAAGTCCGGGCGGAATATTTCTGTTGTGGTCTTTTTGTTTCTTTGTGTTAAAAATACACCGATGAGAACTGACCATTTGTATAAACTTAGTATAACTTAGTATAAAACATTTTTCTTCTGAATAAAATTAGTTTTGCATTTACATCAACGAAGCTCAGATTGAATATCGAGTAATTTAAACTAGCCATCGGAAATGAAATAATTTTTATTTATTTATAGCAGAAAAATGAACATTTTCCGTGATAAATTTACTATTGATAGTGATATATTATAAAATTGTCTTAAAGTTTTATCCGAGAAAAACTCATCAGCTTCGCGTATCCCGAATATTCTCGAACCATTACTTTAAAATGTGTTACATAAAACTTGGCGCTCATTAGATCTGAACTTAGGGGAGACTAGCATAAAATTTGATACTTTGGTTCGAGAGGGAATTTACCTCGTATGCTTCAATACTACTATAGTGAGCTACAAAAAATTATTTAAAATTTGTGTGCAATCTCGGTTATAGTTAGAAAATAATTTCGTAGCTAACCACGGAAATATACATATAAACATAGGATAATATTATGATTTCGGGCAGGATTTCTTTTTAATGTTTAGTCCAGAACTGAAGCGTTTCATACAGTTTTAACCGTGAATTCCTGAACTTAAAATGGAAAAAAAAATATCATCTACAGATCAATGAACCACAAAAATAAACAAATAATTGGTAAACTATTGAAATAATTTATTCGGGGAAATTGTGGGTTCTTATTTAAAGCCAGTGAGTGTTAAGCACTCCCTAGAATTTCCTTATTATCGCTTGCTTATACAACATGACTACATAAGGTTTGGAAACGATGTTTTAAATACTAAAGACCTAATGATCCCACTACACGTCCCTGAAAGCAATTTTTAGGCATCTAGTGTTAAATGATCCAAGATTACAAAAAATTAATTTTACAAGGACAACAAGATAGCTTACAGTGAGTATCGTAAAATATACCAGGTATTTTGTTAAAGTGGGTGCACCTATTTTATTGAAGTGTATAACATTTTCCAAAATTTGTTTTCTAAAACATTTGGGAAACAAGCTTTTCTATAATATTTAATTGATAATACATTTTATCAAAATTATTTTTTAGGGTATTTTTAAAGCCTACAATTGAATTCAAATATATTAAAAATAAAAATGCATAAATAAATAAATTTAAAAAAAAATATTTCGTGTAAAAATTACAAATTGACGTCATCGTTGACGAGACATTCCAATTTTAATTAAAATTTGCAAGAGAGTAGTAGATGAAAGTTTGTGTAGCAGAACGTCGCGCAGAGTGTGATGTACAGATATTCTCTTCCGACGGAATCTTAAAAGTTGACAATTTTTTCATTAGATTGACGTTAATTAAACATTTCAAAAAAAAATTTGTATTAGCCAATAATCAAAATAACTATGAAATTTTTTATACTACCATTCATTTAAAAATCAAAAGTATATTTTACTCCCAAAAGAAATATAGAACAAATATAACAAAAATATAAATGTGTAGTACAGCATCTTTCTATGTCTCATAAAAACAATCTACAATATAGTAAATACTTTGAATTAAGCTTTTACTATTCCTAAGAGTTCCAAAATATCGATCGACGATTCGGATATCTGGAATCGTTTTCAACTCTCATTATAATATTACTATAAGTGTTATAACATCATATTTTTAAAATGTAATAGAAAATAACACTAAGAATAAATCAACTTTTTCTGACATAATGTTTGTACTCAATTAATTAGAATACCTGATAGATATACTTTCAGCTACAAAACATTTTTCAGATATTTATAACGCTTTAATGAATGTTTACTGTATTGCTGGCCATTGTTTGTGATGAATTTGACAACACAATATTAAAAATATATTTTAAATGAAATTCTTTTTTTTTTACTCCAGCACCATCAATTCCAGGACCACGACGAAAGTTATATATTATTATTATCAAACAGTCTAACCCTTTTTAACTAAAATTGAATTAAGGTTTTTATTATTCTTACTAGTTCTAATTTATCGTTCTACTATTCGGATTGCTGGAATCTATTATAATTTTGAATTATAATATTACAACGAGTATCATAAAAGCATATTTAAAAAAGGTCCGAGAAAATTAAACTACAAGGTAATAAATTGTTTCCGACATAAAGTTGTTGCCCAAAAATTAGTTCACTTGATCGATATGCAATCTGCTACGAAACAATATTCGGCAATTTATAACGCTAGAATGAATGTTTACTGTATTGCCATTCATTATTTGTAATGAATTTTACGATACCATATTAAAAATATATTTAAAATTATATTTTTCTTTTTTTACCCTAGCACCAGCAATTCCAGGACCACAATGTAAGTTATATGTTAATATTTTCAAACAGTCTAACCATTTTTAACTAAAATTGAATGAAGGTTTTATTATTCCTACGAGTTCCAATTTATCGATCGACGATTCGGATATCTGGAATCGTTTTCAACTCTAATTATAATATTACCTAATGTGACATAGCATCATCTTTTTAAAATATTATATATTATAATACTAAGAAAAAATCAAATTTTTCTTTGATGATGTTTGTGTTCAATTAATTGGATTACTAGATAGATATACTTTCGGCTACAAAACATTTTTCAGATATTTATAACGCTTGAATGAATGTTTACTGTATTTCCATTCATTATTTGTAATGAATTTTACAACACAATATTAAAAATATATTTTAAATGGAATTCTTTTTTATTTTACTTCAGCACCAGCAATTCCAGGACCACGACGTAAGTTATTTATTATATATTTCAAATAGGCTAGCCGTTTTTAACTAAAATTGAATTAAGGTTTTTATTATTCTTACTAGTTCTAATTTATCGTTCTACTATTCAGATTGCTGGAATCTATTGTATTTCTGAATTTTAATTTTACAATAAGTGTTGAAGCAACTTTTTTTTCAAATAACTAAGCAAATAAAACTCATAAATAATCAATATTTTCCGAGAAAATATTTTTGCAAAATTATTTCGATTACCCAATTAAATAAATATTGAAAAATATTGTTTAATAAATAGAAAAGTTAATATAATTGAATTAAACTTGGAAAATATACCATAGATAAGTTATGTAAATTTGTTAATCCTTTTATCATATCTCTAGTGGAACATACAATTTATACCAATTTTATTAATATTTTTAAATTCACGTTTATTTAGTATAATTTCTGCTCTTTTTTTGTACGTTGATGATGTTATTTCTTGTTTATGATTGTTGAGGCGATTTCAAGTAATTTGTTTACATTTTCCGTAATAATGACTTCTAATGAATATCGCAGTATAATACTATACATATAGAGGTAATGGTATCAAAATCACATTTACTGCTTAAAACAACTCTACCTATACCCAATATATTACAATTTTTTATTTCCCTTGCCCACGAATTATTTTTCAAACCAGTAAGTGGCTTTATTTTTCAAGAGTTCTTTAAATCTAGATGAGATAAATGTAGATTTGGACATAGAAAATAATTTAATTCTTGTTTGTTTACCCGTTTTCTTTTCTATTCTTCTTCCGCTACGTTTTCAGTATTATTTTTATTAGTTGATGGATTTTGTCATGGTTCATTATT